TCAGAACAAAGAATGACCCTCTAAAACGTCAAACACAAGTAAACTACCTTGCAAGCTTGAACTCAATTTCATGTTTGCTTAATTTTTTTTAGCTCACAGAAAATCAGAATTGACACACAAAAACATCTTCATGTGAAGCGCATTATGCAGCGCGCTTAGTTTCGACATCCCATTGGCGCTGTGTTCAAAACAGTCATGCTACAATAAATGATAAATTAAAAATGAAAAAATCGATTTCAAGAGGCAATACTCGTGATCAAGCGATCATACATTTTGTTAAATATGAGAGAATGAACTTGAAACAATGAGACTTCATTTAGCTGTTAGATGATAGATGGGATGAATTAACACTACATACCATGCTATAAAGGACAAAAACTGTACTGAGGGTATCAGTTCCGTATATTAAAAAAATAATGAAAATTATTCCTACTTTCACCGTATTTACTATTATCTGAGACCAATGAAAGAATGTATACATGTATTTCTTTTCATGTTGCAATACAAATGTGCCTTAGGCGGGGCATTCATGTCCTATGGACTATTTTTAATTTCTTGTGATATGTTTCTTATTGTTTTGCGTTCTTTAATTTCATCTTTTCTTTTTATTTTACATAGACTTTCATCTTTAAAAAAGGAAAGGAATTCAGGACACCTTTCAGACATAATCACACAATCGGAAAAATTAAAGTACGTGAATGTATTTAAATTGTCTTTGAACACAAAATATGTTCATAACAATTACCAATTACAATTAAGACTTAAATTTAAAATCACTTTTATTTGACAGGAAAACAAAGAATGGCGCATCATGCCAGATGATGGAAGATACGGTATATTTCGGGATGACGCGGACGACAGCTGCTTATCCGAGCCGAACTCTGAAACATCTGAGGAGTCGGATATTGAGATACAAGTAGGCACACTGGCCTGGTCGAAGACAGATTCAATAATTCTCATTACAAGACTGAAATTGTAATGAAAATTATGTATGTTTCCTAGACCAGGCCTTGGTAAAGGAAAATTACACAAATTAGAGAGGGGCACAGTGTTTAGATTGCTGGAGGTACATTATAAATTTAAAAAAATCTTGACAAGTTAAAATAAATTCCTTTAATTTTTTTTTATCCTATTTCGGGGATGGGGATTCTTAACTCCATTTTAACCAAATGTGAAAATTGCTGAATTCCTATATTTCATGAAAAAGGGGACTGGGTGCAAGACTCTTTCAAGAAATCTTAAACGCAGAGGGGGGGGGGGGGTGTCGAGCAATGTGATTGGTGATTAATGTTTGAAGAAAATTCTGCTAAATTCCAGTTGAACTATTGTGCATTATACAATAAAAGTCACAAAAAAACGCATGCTTTGACTTCACCCTTTGTTGTGTTAGTACACTAGTATACTGGATAGTTATGTGGATTATAGCTTGTAGATTCCTATATCCCTGATAATGTCCAGTATCTCGCTTGTAGATTCCTATATCCCTGATGATGTCCAGTATCTAGCTTGTAGATTCCTATATCCCTGATAATGTCCAGTATTTAGCTTGTAGATTCCTGTATCTCTGATAATGTCCAGTATCTAGCTTGTAGATTCCTATATCCCTGATAATGTCCAGTATCTAGCTTGTAGATTCCTATATTCCTGATGATGTCCAGTATCTAGCTTGTAGATTCCTATATCCCTGATGATGTCCAGTATCTAGCTACTCTTGTTAAGTTGAGCCAACTTAAGGCTACAAATCTCCAGTATCTCTTGCTGGAATCGTGAACTGAGAAATGGGCTCGAGTGCCGTTAAAAAACAGCCAAATGTTCCAACAATTGAGAATTGGATTGCATTTCATAGTTCATTTAAACAATTTTGTGATGATTTTTCCTGAAAATCTATTGCTTTTTCTTTGGAGGCAAAATGAACAAAATAATATAATGATTAAGCATGTTCAGTGTCAAAACTTTAGGAGATTGGGATAGCTACAAGTAAGTGTTAATTTTACATCTCAGATTTTACTTATATTCAAAAATCTTTAATTATGTCACATCGCAAAAGAAGTCAGGGGACATATATCGTTCCGATTCTTTTTTTCTCCCACCTAATTTTATCCGCCTGAGTTCTCGCAGATCTGAATGAAATTTCATATTTTAAAATAATAATCACTAATGAAGTTGTTCGTGGAAAATTCAAAATGACCTCCTATGCCAATGAAGCGGGGGAAGGTCATTCCGGGGCAACAAACGCTATTATTGCTTGTTTTTGACACGTACTGTTGAACTTCGTTATCTCGAACAGCGATATATTAAATAGCACGGATATATCAAAGTCAGTTGGCAGTCCCAGCTATTTTTTTTCTATAACCTCGGTATCTCGAATACTAGGATATCTCAAAAATTTTCTTGGTCTCATAGAGTTTGAAATAAGGAAGTTTGACTGTATATTTTACCATCTTTATGAACCATTTTGGTTGAATTAAGGGTTGAATCAAAGCATTATTTCTTCTGTCATTAACTTAGTTTAAAGAAGATACATAACAGATACTTTTCTCCAGGTCTCCTAAAACTGTAAGATTGTTGGTCTGTAATAACTAGTATTTTCGCTATGTCACACTCAGAAACACTCAACTGAATTCTAATAGGTAGAAGAGAAGTCAACAATGAAAGAAAAAGAGAAAAATGAGGAAGAAATGAAAAAAGAGCACAAGAAGTCAAAACGAGTGGAGGTGTGTTTTTTTTTTTTAATTCGAGATCTGCTTGTTCAAATCCCTGTGTCTATCGAAAAAATTCTTTGAATTTTATGTGAATAATAATTTTTACTATTATTGTTATTATTTTTGTAGTATCTGTCCTTTATTTCGTGTTAAAAGACTTAAATTTCATGTTAAACGACTTAAAACGTTACATTTCATTTTACTTTTCAGAGAATAAGAAGGGTTGTGAAGTGTTTGTGCTGCTGTTGCTGTCCATGGTAAATGGAGACTGGGGAGAATCACACTACAATATGATCTCGGGGAGTAATATTAAATCATTTAGTTTACTTCTATACTTATAACCTGTTCATGTTTTTCATATACCATGTCATATTTTTCCCTTGCTTTATCGCAAATAAGATTTTTTCCAAATCGAAGAAAATCCGATAACTAGTGCAAAGAGCTCGGGAAAATATTTAAAGGACATCAACCTGTTTCAACCAGCTTATATGTTGGTTTTGCTGTATATTGTTTTATTTTCGGCGGAGTAACTTTTACGAAATTTTCAAGAATATGAGTCTAAGAGACAAGATCTGAGTGCATTACAAACATAATGATCCAAATTCAAACTTTTCCTCTGCAAAAAGAGACAAACTAGACAGATCTCTTGTCTAATACATGTAGTTTGTGATAGAGCAAATATAACTGCGTCTTTCGGAATGACCGTCCTTTCAGGGAACACATTCTGCAGATAACTCAGTTTGGTTTCCGTTAAAATACATACCGGTGTTCGGATAATTTCGACTGTTCAGAAAATGCCCATCTAGTTGTATAGATTTCGACGTCCTTAAAATAAAATCCATTTTTTCCATGAATTCATGGGTCTAAAATTTTACAATGTTCAACATTACACCACTTTATCTTTTGACTGAGAAGTACCGGTAACATGATTTTGTAAGCCAATTTAAGCATTTTCCTCTGAAACTCAAAATTAAACCAGGAATATCTACAGGAAATAAATTCCATTGATACTCTATTTAAATTCTTTTTATTCAGATAATATCCAGGATTCTTCAGAAAAAGATGACTCTTTCCTAAATTTTCTTTCAATTAAAAAAAAAATGTTGCAGAAATTATAAAATTTAAAGTAATAATCTTTTTCGTGCTTACATTTAGTCCCCTCCTGGCAAATTTTGAGAAAATATTTGAAGTTCATAATATGAAAAACTTGCTTAAATGCAAAAACTTGTTATGGGTGAATAACATTTTGATCTCAATATAATTATGACGACAAACTGATCGTCATGCTTGTCGTTTTGGTTCAGTCTTGAAACTGCAAATGCATTTTTACAATGCAATTATTTTGGCCGATAGTTTTCTTCAGAAAATTATTTTGTGACATCTTTTTCATACTTATCAATGATACAAATATTGCCTTAAACAGGCCCGTAGCAACGGTTTCAAAAGGGGGAGGAGGAGGGGAGGCAACTTTCCAAAATAAACTTACAAGAAAAAAAATTTATCCTTAATATCTTTTGTTTTGAAGGCAAAATAATTGTTGACTCAGTTAAAACTTTAGTAGATTGTGATAGCTACGAGCGTTAGTTTCACATCAGAAACACAGGCACTTGGGGTATGGACCCCTCCCCCTTTTTCCATTTTTTTCTTTTTAATTCTGGGATCTAGTCACCTTTTCCCCTATTTTTGTATTCTAATATGCACTATATGTTATCGATAATGTAACCCTTTTGTCTCTATTAGCTGTTTTTAAATATATCGTTTTCGACTGATACATAGAGAGAAGGCTTGCAACTCTTTTCTCGTCGTCTGCCTCACCTCGCTTAAACTTCGCGTGAATTTTTCGCCTACAGCGAACTGTGTAAATAATATAAACTATAAAGGATAATTAACATAAGCATTTTCAGAAAATGAGACAGCCTAGTGAACTGTAGTTTCTTTGAAATTGTTCTTTTAAGTCCTAAATCTGATTGTTAGAAATATTTGCCCAGAGAAAAGTATTCGTATAATCTTTTTTCAATGACATCGTGAAAACTTAGACATTATATCAGTAAAAGCTTGTTGACTACATAAACATGTACACGTTTCCATCCATGAACAAAAAGTTCATGGGGATAACCCAGTATTTTTCAACACCCCTTTTTTTTCATTCAGGTCATGACACTTGAAGCAATACCACACTATATACATGATATAAGTATAGTATAGGTTTTCTTACAAGTTGTTACAACGTGTTGACTAGGACCCCTGACGTTGTGAGGATGATACGTGTTGGACGTGGATATTTATGAATTAAAGACCTTTACAGGACATTATATTTTATTTTATATCTGTATAACATCTACAAACTTTGAATTATAACGTTTTACAATTCATCCACTTCCTGGCCCATAGGTCAAAATAAATGGAAAAACTGGATATCTCTATATATCCATTAATATGGATTATCTAAATCTTAAATGTTCATTAGACTGATCCAATTGTGCATTATGCCAGTGACTGTGAAGTCAAAATTTACGTACTAATGATAAGCCGAGTCTGGACCTATTACACTACTCAGTCTAGAGTTCCTTCTAGAAATAAATAACAGTCTCTTGTATCCAAAATGGAATCTAGGTCTTTCCTCTGAAGTGTCTTTCTTTTACTCTGCATTGTACTGTGAACAGCATCTTTAGAAAGTTCCCAAACAAATAATTCCGTAGCTTTGGCAATGGCAATCACTGCTTCTTGACTTGCTAATGTCACATCTGGGTCACTCTTCATGATCGATTTGATTCGACTCAATGGCAGCCTCATCAACTTCTCGTTATCCTGATTAGAAACTTTATCTTTTGTTTTATCTGGCTTGTCTGTATTCTCTTTATCGGCAGTTTCTAATTCCATTTCCTCTACTCCCGCCATTTTCGCCTACTTTCTTTTTTGAATATTTTAGAGTTATCGGCCTTTTAATGTAGATTACAGCGAGGGAGAGTGTCAAAACCTTGAAAAACACTAACGTTATACCATGTATACGGGAATGCAATGAACTTGTAAAAGAAGGTAGTGGCTTTTGTCAAGCACTTGAAGTAGCTTGCAGTTATAGGGATTTTAATGTAAATATACGTGAATTTTTAGATATGTTATACTTTCAATTATTAAAATTATGAATAGGTTAGCGGAACATTTTACTGCGAAAATGTGTAGTTCGAATTTCCACTGCTGGTAAGCGGATATTAGTCATCCGTCTTATATCAATGAGACTTAATTGTGTTAAACATTTGAAACAATACTAAATACATCCTGTGTGTGAATCGAATCCATCTGAAGTAGTAGAATATTGGATTCAGAATTTATCAGAGACATAAACTGAAAAATTAAGTCTCTGATGTGAACCATTATATTAATTTTGATAAAAACAGTAAATATCCTAGAATATAGGTAAAAATGTATGACATGACTTATTTACCATATAGTTATATGGTATATAATAAGCATTAAGATGGGGAGTGTCTATTTGTATAGCATGAATGTGTGTAAAAGGTAGGAAAGTAGAAAATTTCCCTGCATTCACATTCTTTTAGTGTTCACAGGTATAATGCAATGTTAAAGGCGGACACACTATGTCTTGTTAAAGGGGAAAACACTATACAGGTCTTTTCATTCATTCAAACAAGAAACAAATGATGCCATAATTAACAAGTATAAGTACAGAAGAGGAGAAAAATATGATGGACCAGACTGGGATTCGAATGCGGGATTCGTGAATCTAGTCAGGTGCTCTACCTATTCTCTTTAGAGAAGTGGACAGGCTTTCGCCTACATCTGTGGATGTAGGTGAAGCCTGTCCACTTCTCTAAAGAGAATAGTGCTCTACCAACTGAGCTATCTGGTGATCAAACCCATTTAACTGCCACATTCCTCCCTCCTTAAAGGTCTTTGCCCCTGAAGACACCAACCCAGGCTTTTCCTTAGCAATTCTTTTACCTGTCACATCTTGATCATGGCAGAAAAGGAGAAATATGTGACAGACCAGACCAGGATTTGAACCTGGGACCCCTGAATTTTGAGTCAGGTGCTCTATCAACAGAGCTGTCTGGCTACCGGCAATCGAACCCGTCTGACTGCCGCACAAGAAAATCTGACTTATGTCAGACTTGTAAATTTTATTACATGTGAAACAAAACATGTTTTAAACAAATATACTGTATAGGAGAATTTTTAGCAAGGATTCAATTTTGGCATTATTAGCGAGGCTGTTGAGGTCCCTAAAATTGAATATCGCTAACAATGCATTGCATATTGGTTGTAATAGCTTCTTTTGTTGGCATTATAAAAATCGCTAAAATTACTTCTTGCTAAAAATTTGTACCAATTTTTCAGGATAAAATCGCTAAAAATTCCACTTATGCAATTGATCCATAGATATATCAACTACACAAAAAAGAATATCAACCTATCTTGAAACATGAAGTGTGTGGTTAATTTCTTTTTCTGTGAAGTTAATGCAGGTAATATGAATTGATAAATTAAAATGTTGATGCTAGGGCTGTATCAATATATCGATATATCGATACGTATCAATATTTAATAATGTATCGTATCGAAAAAATAAATTCCAATACGTATCTAACAGGCAGATTTTCTCATAATTCTGTGAAAAAGTTAGGAATTTCAATCACCAAGGGTTATATTTTTACTGTTTTGAATTAAAATTGATCAATAATGATCGATATAATCATTAAGGAGATAGCACATCTTAGATAAATATTACAAAATACAACTTTATTTTAACATGTTGTTTTACAGTCATTTAAAGTTTGAATTTGAAGTGAAATTTGTAGAGACAGTGAGACAAGACCTTCAAAATGGGTTATAAAACAATTAGTTTTTTTTAAAATTCATGCATTAAATGATTTAAAAGACTTTTTTGATAGACTTGTAAAAGAATCCAATATATCGGATATTGCATTATAGAATATTGTATCGTATTGTATCGACTTTTTTTGCTCAATACACAGCTCTAGTTGATGCAGGTAAAATAAATCAATCCACTGAGATCGGTAAAAATCATTCTGCTCAACATTTCATGTTTTGGTATTAATTATGTCCTTTAATCCATGTTTTATAATTGTCATTGGTAAAATACAACATCTTTCACTGAATATTAAACCATTAATAACTTACAGTTTTAATTGTCTTCCATTAGGTGAAGATGGATCTTTGGGGCAGTTTTGCATTGACTGGAGGAGGACTGTGTGTTGTTTATGTGTTGCTGCCCTTCATAGTGAGGCTCTATCCTTGGATTGCACACAAAATTGTATTTCTTCACTTTGGTAAGCTCTCTCTCTCTCTCTCTGTTTTGCTTTCATTCTTTTTTTATGTGTACCGCAGTCAGTGTCTGTTCAGATTAACTTTTAATCTGAACCTATATTGACAAAATTGATAAACAGCTGGTGACTTTTCTTACATACAAGTACAAGTTATTCATTACACATTTTAGTGGAACACCCCAAAGTAGTATTTAAAGACTTGAAAAAGCCAGAGAGCTTTGGGTTAAAGAATACCAGAAATTTCTATCTTGATGTTGATGAAGAGAGTACCATTGGAGTCTGGTAAAAGTTTTATATAAATAATAAACCAAACAGCAATAAACTTTGTCTGATCAGACCCCAATTTCAAATACCGTTAATGATTTTGCAAATATGTAATTTCATTTCTTTGATTTCCAGGCATACCTTACCCAATAATGCAGGCGATCAAATCGATGATAATGATGAATTCTGGGAGAAAAAGTTACAAGAAGGACAACCAATAATTCTCTATCTCCATGGCAACTCTTCTTCAAGGTATTTTCGACAGATTTTTTTTTTCAAGGACATGTACACAGTATTGGAGATCAGAGTTCTCTCAAAATTAATGATGTCTTTATTTATATGTTCTTGCAGAATGCTCATGCCCACGTAATATTAAATACTTAAACTTATCCAACTCTTATGAATATTTACAGGTAGATAGATTTTTCATCCAGGGGCTCTGACGTATTGTTACATAATTAATATAAAACGTGAATTAAATTCCCAAATTTTAACTCCCCATTATTTTTTTTTCAGAGCTCAGCCCCACAGAGTTGAGTTAATGAAGATACTCACTAAACTAAACTACCATGTGCTGGCACTGGACTACAGAGGTTTTATTTTTTTTCAAAAACTTTAACTCAGATTTCCAGATAAATCCTGTAAATTACCCATCTAGCAAATGAATTTCTTGCTTGTTGTTAATAAAGATACAGAAAAAAAAGAAAGTCCTTCAAATTATGAGAAAGAAGTTCAAAAGATGTGAATACTATTATACTATAATGACGTTTTATTTAATATATTGTTTATCCTTATGGCATTTTAGATCATTTTTATCTTGGACTGCGAAAGCAAGAAGACATTTGAAAGTTGATTTGATTGCAGGTTTTGGAGATTCCACTGGTTTCCCGTCAGAGGATGGTTGTGTTGCTGATGCCTACTTTTTGTACAAATGGATCAGAAAATGGTCAGCTGAAGTTCCTGTTATTATATGGGGACACTCACTAGGAACAGGGTCAGTGGAAATTAGTTCAGCTCTACTTCATGTTCTTGTAGTTAAAAAAATTCAGAAATGCACATTCTTAATTATTATGTTCAACTAATCTACAAAATTTAGAGGATTTTAAAGAGGATTAAGATTATACTGGAATTACCCTTTCTGTTTGTTTATGTATACTTGTTATGTTTGTGTTAGGCGAAGGGGAGTATTTACGTGCAATTTATCAGTGGTATACAAATCACCATGAATGCTAAACACATACTTTTGATGCTGCATATGTTAGCAACATTTATGCTTCAATGACCCTGGTCTAGGGTGGCATTAAAGTTTTTAGCTTATATTTATATATACATTGTAGTATAAAAAGTTATCTTTTAATTTGTTTTTATTCAAAAATGGATACCAATATGTTTGAGAGTATTAAAATCGAATTAAAAAAAAAAATACTGAATGAAACTGTCGTGAATATAATAAATGCTATTTGCTTAATATTCTCTGAACTTTTAAATTTTTCTACTATGCAATAGTTTGAGAATATGTGTTCATGATTTCATTATTTCCATTTCAGTATAGGGACAAAATTGACAAAACAACTATGTGAAAAAGGTAAGAAAGGATCAAAAAGTGAAATATTCACTTCAGACTTACACCATAATTTATAAACAGAAAAAAAATGGACTGATTTTTTCCTTACAGGTGAAGCACCAGATGGACTTATTTTACAGGCTCCATTCACAAATTTAAAACATGTCTCAAAACTCCACCCTTTTTCTGCAGTAAGTATGAATACCAGTGCATGGAAAATGCAATCAAAATTCAAGAAAGTTTTAACTCAAGTTTAATCAGACTTCAATTCAAGAAAGCCAACTCTTCTAAGTGTGGTAGTTTGATTACTGACATAAGTAGAGAGACAAAAATTATGTTAATACATTATGGCTTCATTTTTTTTCAGTTGTTTAGATTTCTTCCCTGGTTTGACTGGGCTGTATTAAGTGCTTTGGATAGAATTGGCCTTCATTTCAAATCTGATGAAAAGTAAGTTCCCATATTCATGGCAAAATTGATACACATGAACACTGAGTGACAACAGATTCTTTGGATTCTATAACTAAATATTGAACTTGATTCATTTGCACTGCTAAACATTGAGGATAGAGCTCAAACTGTATACTTGTACATAAGTATCAGAATACTGTATACATAAACAAGTGCCAGTTTTCTATTTATCTGTAATGATTTTGTAATCTTTATTTCTCCAGTATAGCCAGTGTTACTGTCCCTATATTACTCCTTCATGCTGAGGATGACTTTACTATTCCCCATGAACTCGGTGAACTGGTAAGGTCAATGAAAATTAGGTCAAAAGTTTGAGTTTTTGTTGTTTGTTTATATTAAAGACTGTGGTTTTAATTTTAATCATCACTATGTTTATGCATGGACATTTATCAAAAGCAGTAGTGGATAGAATTGGCCACCATATGGAGTAATAATGTCTTTTTTTTCAGTTCGAGACTCTATTTTATTAGTACTTCTTTATAAAGGAACTTGCTACAGATAGTATGAGTCTTTTGAAGTGATATGTTCTTTTTATTAATAAGTTACATTATTTATATTCAACAGCTCCATGAAGAGGCAAAGAGAGTCCGTGAGACGACCAGCGGTAATATCCACTTTGTGTCCTTTGACAAAAAACACAAATATGGTCACAATGGATTGTATAGAAGTCCAGAACTTCCTCAACATGTCTTGTAAGACTTATATATTGTATTAATGTTTATTTGTGTCGCAAAACAATCAGAGCAATTAGAATTTACATAATTTTACCCTATTGAATTTATACTGATAAAAATAGCCTCTGTTTGAAATTTGATAACGTTTTGAAGAATTGTTCATTTCGGGGTGTAACATGGCTTTTTAATGAAAATTTCGTAATTTTCAGAAACTTTGTGGCATCTTTGAAGAGATGATAGGATTTCCAGTTCTTTTCTCATCAGACAGGAACCTTGAATAAAGAAGTTAGACTCTAAGTCATTTCATGGGGCATATCTTGTATAAACTCAGAACAAATTTCTACTATTCTTGTAAGAGATCACTTGTTTTGTGATTATTATTTTTTTTACTTGCTTACATATATGTATGTCTTTTTTGTATTAAAAGTTGTATGGTTTGTAACACTTATTAATATAGGTAAGAGGATATAAATATGTTGCATACTGGGTAAGCCTGACCAAGAAGTAATTTCACTCACTTTGGCTTGCTTATCAAGATGTAGTGAATAGCTCAGACATTCATTTTTATAGCACTATTTTTTTTTAAATATGACCAAATCTGAAATTGTTTGGAGGAATGGATAAAAGTTTGTATTTATATTAAATAGGTTTGGTTGAAATCCTGTCATGTAGGGAGTTTTACTAATTATTCTCTATGTAATTATACAAGATGAATCAAAAGAAATATAAGAGTTTTAGTTAAAAGTTGGAAGTTATATGTAAGGTCATAGTGAAGGTCAAGGTAAAAAAAAATAATTACCTGGTACACAGACTAATTGCTCACCAATCTATTTCAGTGTATTAATTTTGCATTAATACAGTTGGTAATAATTTAAGATAAAGGAAAAAAGCTAAGGAAAAGGGCTAAAAGAGCTCAAATTAAAGTTGGAAAAGCCAACTTTAACGTTGGAAAAGCCAAGATTAAAGTTGGAATTAGCAACTTTAAAGTTGGAAAAGCCAAGAATAAAGTTGGAATTTCCAACTTTGAAGTTGGAAAAGCCAACTTTAAAGTTGGAAAAGCCTGGATTAAAGTTGGAATTACCAATGTTAAAGTTGAAATTATCAACTTAAAAAAATATATTATGTGGCACTAATACGCTTCCGTACAGATGAGTTAAAAAACAGGGTCTGATTAGGAGAGGAGCATAAAGTGTTAAAATTTGGGAGACACACTATACTGAAATAATATTGTGACAATGGAAAAGAGAGAGATGGAGGATATGTCCCTTACCCAAATATTTTCTGTACAGCAGTCATAATCATGGTAATACTGTTTCTGTTGTTACTTGTCAGGCCCGTATCAACTTTTTTTTAAGTGGGGGGGGGGGGGGCTCCATAAAATATGAGGGAGGATAGACTTTTCTTTAACTTCTCAGTACGATTTTTTTTTTCAAATGCTGGAATTTTTCAGTGTTTTGCTGTACAACAACAAAAAGGTTGGGGTGGGGTTGAGGGTTACAAGCAGCTTCTAAATGAAAATTTACATAGACGTCGCGCACGGTGTTAATTGTGTCTAAATGTCATTATTACCATTGCGGCAGCATTTACGCTACATGTATATACTATAGGCACCTAGTATATGTTTTGGAAACAATGAACTGTATGAAAGCTACATATCATTCAGTCGGTAATTGTATTAAGAATATACTTAATAAATGCATGGGAAATGGCAAGAGAATTTAATTATTTTTTGTTAATGAACTGCATTGTATATTTTACAACATACTAGGTTTATATTTTTTTTTCTTTCATCAAAACTGTAAGTCAAAAACGTCACATCAAATAATGTAGGCCTAATCTAACGTCATTTTGACGTTACCAAATTGACACCAACAGCGTGCGCAACGTCATAGTAAAACTACACTCAGAAAAAGTCGCCCCCACTCCCTCACCCCCCGCCCCTCCTCCCGCGCACTACGGGTGGCAGCCTGCTTGTTGATTTATCAACAGCAACTTCTAGACGTCAATAATCGTATAGAATTGAATAGAATAGAATAGGATTTATTACCAAATCAGGGCCCAATGGGCATAAACATATAACATGTATAATTACAGATAAGATAACAGACAGAATACAACATATATAATGGTGTTTTGAGTTTCATATGTAGACATAGGTTGTCTTGATTTAAGATATATCTGTACTCTTAATTGATACAACTTAATGTGCAATGATGTGCATTACTATTACTAATATTATACATATAACTGAACACATAAAAAATGTGTGATACATCAACAAGAGGCAGCAAGAGTCGGTGCTAAAGGATATACAGAAATCCACTTCTGCCTCATGTAGAATAAACAGATACACAATCTATGGAAAAGTGTATTAAAAAAATTAATAATAATAACAATAATTAAAAAAAAATTGTATGTTGAATGGCATGTATAAATTATATTAAACTGCAATGGACAGCAAGAATCAGTGCTGAAGGATAGTATTATTATTTTAATTAATCCACTTCTGCTCAATGCAGAGTATACAACAACACACGCATATAACAACATAACATACTGTAGTATAAGTATTAAATCAAAGTACATGTAAGTAAAGTCAAGATCAACATGTGACTTTGAATTTGTCTAACTACACATGACTTATAAATTCACACAAATTGCACAGCACATCAACATCTTCACAGTTCATTAACCATAAAAATTGATTACTTTTAGACATACTATTAAAAAGATGAGATCTCGTATATGAATAAATGAAATTTTATGAATTAAGTACTTAAATGAGTTCATTTTTACGCTATTTTTTTTTTTTTATTTAATTATCTCCCAATATTGTCTTTAAAAAAGAGAATGATGGTGTTAACATTTATATAAAGGGATGACCATTTGATTCTTAGAGGGGAACCTGGCAGGTAATCTTGAAAATACTGGCAAGAAAATATATAATCTGACCTTGACTGGAGCAACTCTTCCCCCCTCAACCCTCCCCCCAAAAAACGCGCGCGAAACAGTTTTGGGCTCTTTCTCTCCCCCCCCCCCTCTCTCTCTCACAGGCACTTGTTTCTGTAATAAATTTCTTAACCTATAGTATAGTAATAATAACAGTGTAATTATTATACTATGTGTTATAAATTTATTACAGAAATAGTGTCTGTGCTCTCTCGCTATTTGTCATCTCATTATTTTTGCAATATTTGATAATACAGAAGTTGGCAATAAACGAATAGACAAAGATCGAATTATTGAAATATCCACTTCCGGTAAAGAGCTAGGTCCAAAGTCCAAGTAAACAAAGCCGCAAGCAGACAGTATATATCGTGACAGCAAAATGTTGAATGAAAATGTCGATTCTAGGCAATATCAAGAAAGGCATTGTTCTCCAAAGAAGAATAATCAGCCAAAGATGAAGACAGTAACTGGAAAAACGACGGAAAGGTGCATAGTTTCATAGTTTAACCAGAGACATATATATGTCTCTGGTTTAACAACATCGAAGATTAGTTTCACCATTTTGACACTTGAATACTGCTTGGGCCCCATGTTTCACAAGTCCTTCGAAGGTTTTGATGAATTATAAAACCAATGATTAAAAATTTTTTGTGATATAAATATCTGATAAACAATCTGAATATTTAGCCTATGAAACAGGTATTTCATTTTATTTTCATATATATATAAGTAATGGATATAATGTAATTTTTCATAATTTATTTAGCAGTGTAGTTAACAATTGTCACCAGTACAATCATTGTCTGTAACCCATGGGTAATTCACATTGATTCTTTCTATCATCACCCATGCAGTTTAGGGAGCTTGTGAACTCAAAACTGTGGTTTGCTAGTATGATGCAGAACAGAATGAATTTATAAGGGTTATATTAACAGAATTTATAAGGGTTGTATTATATTTTGCAATAATGAACTGGTTATGATGCTGAAGACCCCCTCCCCCTCCCCACCAGGTTTAAAAAAATGTTATCAAGTTTTGGTGTATTTTTTAGGTGGGACTATCTTGTGGCAACATAAGTTATTAACAGGGGGTAAAAGGGGGATATAATTAATTGTCATGAAGGTGTGCTATCTTTGACCTATGTTCATATCAATGACTAGATTTTTTTAAGTTGGAATTATTTTATTCACATAAAGTGAATGAGAGTAGGCAGCAGACAGAGCCTATTATAGCCCTCTCCCTATTCTGCATGTATATAGATTTTTATTAAAATTATTTCTTGACACCATACCCAATATTTTTTATTCTGTCTGTCTGAGAAAATATTGGCTCATTGGGTGTGTCATTCAAAGAGGAGTGATGTGTTTCTTATAATCTTAAAAAAACTGACCAGGGAAGTAAAATACTTACATTTAGAGATTAGTGTATCATTAAAATTTACACTAGATATTTTATTCTTTTCAGTTGACAAAGAATAGTAATATATCTTGCATTGTATCTTTTCCATATATAAAAGCATTTTTGTGGAAATGGTAGACCGTGTTCTTCAAAGTATAATTTTGATTGTTATCTGTCATTTACAGTATAGCAACATGGTGCTTTTAAAATATACTATGTATGCTAAAGACTAAGAGATGCAAAACTTTATAATGAAACAATTCACATTATTGTATTATTTAATACTGATTTTAAAATGTGTGTTTTGCAGACCGGTGTATGATACTGCTGTAAAGACAACCAAGTACCTGGTTCTTTCACTGTTTGTCATTTATGTGGTGTTCCCTTCTGTAATGACATTATATCCGAGGATTCAAGAAAAACTTATCTTTCTTAATTTTGGTAAGTATTTGAATTCTCTGAATCAAAAAATGTTTTTAAACACTTGACATCATTTGCATGCATGATGATATAAATACTGATCAGAAGTGAAATGTACAAGATAACGATTAAGCTTCAAATTTTTATCACTATCAATATATGTGTATTGCATTTTGTAATCCATACAAAATAATAAAGGGTGAGTGTATGTAAAGATTTGTTTGGCAACATTCTGATATTTTTTTTGTAATATATGTTTTTAGTGTGTTGGCCACCATTTATGGATGTGACAAAGCCAGAAGAACTAGGAATAACAGGAGTTAGGAATTTTTATCTTGATGTAGATGAAGAAATCACAATAGGGGCATGGTAATTCTAAATACTTCACATAGGGATTTTTTAGGGTTCTTTTTTCAAGTGTCTGCAATAATGAAATTTAGAACCATCTTATTAAATCATTGGATCTAAAAACTTGGCAGTATGGAAACAGCTTTCAATAATTAAAAATCTGACTTTTTTTTATAGGCACCTTCTTCCAAAATCTTTGGTTAAAAATGAAACTATGGACTTTGAATCTAAGTTGAACAGTGGTCATCCTATTTTCTTGTACCTGCATGGATCTACAGGCACCAGGTGGGTGTATAAATAATTATAAAGGAATGAATGTGTATTCAATTTGTAGGACATCCTTTAATCTCAGCCACATTAAAAAAAAAAAAAAACTTCCTGGGTAACACAGTAATGAAATCAAGGTAACACAGTAATGAAATCGAAGCTTTGAAGATTACTAATTGATTGTAACGGTAGCACTTTCATTGATTTAACTGAGAAAAAAAAATGCTTTTTCATTTTTTTGGGAACCAAAGAAATTATCAGGGCTGAGTTCAGTGTACAGTGAATTCAGTGAACCTAAATTTATAAGTCTTGCAGGTAGACTAGCTGCAAGACTGTATATATGTCTAGGTCCGTATGAATTAAACACGTAATAGGGCTGGCATATACACGTTCATTCAACTTCTGAGACTATCTAGCACTACAAAGTCCATACGATCTTGAGCTCAACTCTGCTCCTGTTATCCTGTTTTCTAATTATACATGTAATCTGTTTCCTAATTATAATCTGTTTCCTAATTATAATCTGTTTCCTAATTATTATATCCTTGTTTGTAGAGGAGGATGGCACAGAGTCCAGTTAATGAAATTACTGACCTCAATGGATTTTCATGTTATAACCTTAGATTATAGAGGTGAGTTACAAAGGTTTTTCTCATTTTTTGCTGAATTTCTTAACTACAACTGTGATATTATCATATTATTTTAATGTTATAGATATGTGCATATGGTATGTGTACATTTGATTTATTTTTAAATAAACTATATAATGAGCATGGCATAACATTATTTCTCAAATTTAGAATGAAAAAGCATTTCAGTAGAATCAAAGAACAATAAAATAATAAGATGAAAGACTAAATCTTTTAAAATTGTAAATATACAATGTAAATAGAAATATATTTAATAAATAAAGAATAGAAAGATACTTGAATACATAGACTTCTTTATGTATATAGGGTATGCTGATTCCACTGGTCACCCCTCAGAAGATGGAGTGGTGGCTGATAGCCATTTTATGTATAGGTGGATCAAAGAAAGAAGTGGGACTTCTCAAGTCATTTTGTGGGGCCATTCTTTGGGAGCTGCGTAAGTAAATCATTTCACAAGTGGAAATGTAGGAGATTTCCCATTCAGAAAAAATTAGTTAATATGTATATGATTAATTTTTTGTGTTCTGTGTTGATTTGATAGATAATATAATCAATTTATTTTTAGAATTACAACAAAGCTGGCCAAACAGTTATGTGAAGAAGGTAAGTGTTACACTGCTTTTCAATGGAAAATTCAGAGCAAACATTTGTTAGCAAAGCATGTTTCCTGGAACAAGGAAAATAACTCTGTCATTCCTCAATTAAAAATTCTTGGTAAAGAAAAGGAATTATGTTTGATGTACTGGATTTGAGGGCTTTAGTCATAATTCATTTGTAAGATAAATGCATGCAACACCATCATTGTATATTTATTCCAGTACATGACAAATTGGTAACAAATCTAAAAGCAAATTAGAGAATAAATTTTATATATACAGCCAAACATCATTATCTTGAACATGATTGGAGATAAGCTGGGTAAAATACTTAAGAAATAAGCACATGGGACTTCAAAATCACTTCATCATATCAATGGGATTTGAGATACCGAAGTTCAACTGTATATTAGAATAGAGATATTGTAAAGAAAAATTATTTAAATAAACCCTGTCAATCTCATACTTGTAAGGATTTTTTAAGATCTTTAAATTATTTTGAAAAATGCTTTTTTTGTGTGTCTTATTATGCATGCACCTGTATTACAAATGTATTAAAATACATTAGAAGATATATATATTTTTAGTGGAAATTTGCTGCCAGATAATGGTGTGTTAATCATGGAATATCATGTTTTATCAATAAAGACTCTATGATCTTTGCTAAACATCAAACCCTGTGTCAAAATAAAACAAGTAACAATATTGAGAATCAAATAAACTTTCCAGGAGATGATCCACATGGGGTTATTTTAGAATCTCCATTTAACAACATTAGAGATGCTGCCCTCAGCCATCCATTCTCAGCAGTAAGTTTTACACTAATTTTTTTAATAAAAAAGATCATTCATTCAACATGTAATTGGACCATTGTGAATCAAAATGTAGTGATCACATTGTCTTCTGGATTCAACAGTAATATTGACCATATATAATTTAGTCAGGACATCTGCACTTTTTGTTGCCATCTCACTCCCAAAGAAAGAGGAATCAGGATATGATTTTATACCCAGTAAAGTGAATATGAAAACCCTCTATTGGATTTTGGAAACTTTCATTATGTTCTGTTCATACATGCAAAGGTCACCATGCAATGAGATATTGAAATCACCTCTATGTCCAAGCTATGTTACTTTGTAACTTTTATATAAACTGGTAAATAATAATAATTCTCATCATAATAATTTTTCTCCATGTCACCTTAAGGATGTTATGATCTACATTTATATTTAATTTTTAATCCTTTTTGGAAAAAAGTAATAGACACAGTAGATTTATTTATACCCTATCTGCATTGGATTGCATAAATTTTACACAATTTTTCAATTTATGTTATATTCGATACTGTCAATCTTTTAAAATAAATGTTATAATCTAAAATAACAGTTTAAATGTTTACTGTGAACCCCTTTATAGCATCTGTTCAGTTAATATTGATCTATAGGCTATAGCTTTCATAATACATGTAATATACAATGAAGTTATGTCCTCATAAAAAAGTATATTTTAAATGTTTCGTTTCACAAATTATGATGATACCTTAGTAATTCTTGGTGTTGTCAATGGTCAACAGAAGGTACTAGCATAAACAACAATTCATTTTTTTTTTTAATTTTCATAACAATGCTTGGATTAATTTTCTTTTTAGCCATTTCAGCATATAGCCTTCTACAAGAAACTTATTCTGGACTCTGTAGCTCAAAACAATGTGTTCTTTACAAGTGATGAAAAGTAAGTAGTATTAAAATTGCATATACATGTATTGTAGTTGGATGTATTATCAACCACTTGTTGTCTTTGATTAGTTTCATAAGATCTAAATTAACATTTATTATAGTTAATCTTTATAAATGTACAAACAGTTACATGTATTGACAGCATTCAGTTAGTCTGATGTAGAAAGGGTTGGGAAATTAAAAAAAAATCTGCATGAAGTTCCTGGAATATTTTTATAATATAGATAATTGTTTATTACAGTATAGCTAGTATAGATTATCTGTGTATTGCAGTATAGCTAGTATAGATTATCTGTGTATTCCAGTAAAGCTTTCATAGATAATCTGTGTATTACAGTATAGCTAATATAGATTATCGATGTATTACAGTATAGCTAGTATAGATTATCTGTGTCTTACAGTATAGCTACATGTAGTATAGATTATCTGTGTATTACAGTATAGCTAGTATAATTAGGGATGTCAAAATTGTTATTTTCCTTAGTCGATTATTCGATTGCATTATTCGAACGATAGTCGAATATTCGGGACATATTCTGAAAATAAAATTTTATTTCAAACTTCACTGGTACTTGACGTGTTTATAACTCAAAAACTCTTAATCTGTTTAAAATGTAACATAAAAATTAATGCAGAGTAACGTTGAATAGCAAGAATATATGAAATAAATTTAGAAATCTAATCTTCCTAAATTCATGATTTCCCCATCAATCGAATTCATAAATTGGTCTGTACATGCAGTTAGTTTTTATTTAAGTGAGCATTCAAAATTTTCTAGCCGATATTTTTTAAAGCTTATTATGAAATAAATTGGGGGGGGGGTTAATCTCAAACTATCCGAACGCCAGGTGGCTGTTAAATTGTTAAACAGTTAGTTACTGTTTATTCATTTATTGATTGTTCTGGCTATCAAAATGTCCTTAATTATAAACAATTTAAAATGCAAGCGAATTGTTTTAATAATTATCGAAGCGTCAAAACATGTCACATGTTCCAAGCATTTGAGCAATCTTAAAATAAAGATAGGTACATTCGTATAAAATCAAGTCCAATTAATTATTTTACAAACAAAGCCCAGTATATGTATTGATGGTTGATTTATTACAAAAACAACACAAGCAATAACTGGTAGATAATTCTTGCGGTAGAGAAGCATTTATAATTACTGTACTTTCTATACGCACATGGAAAATCAAGTTTTTTGTAGAGGAAAATTATCTTATCAACTGTCTCCGAGGAAAGATGGTTTCTCAATTTTGAAATGAGAATTCCATATCGTTATCACTCTTTTATTGCATTTTTTTAGAATTATAATATTCGAATGTCGTTTCATTATTCGATCGTCGGTCCATTCGACTGACAGTCGAATAGTCGACTATTCGTTGACATCCCTAAGTATAATAAATAATCTGTGTTTCAAGTATAGCTAGTATAGATTATCTGTGTATTACAGTATGGCTAGTATACACATGTTTTATCTGTGTATTACAGAATAGCTAGTGTAGATTATCTGTGTATTACAGTATAGCTAGTATAGATTATCTGTGTATTACAGAATAGCTAGTATAGATTATCTGTGTATTACAGAATAGCTAGTATAGATTATCTGTGTATTACAGAATAGCTAGTATAGATTATCTGTGTATTACAGAATAGCTAGTATAGATTATCTGTGTATTACAGTATAGTTAGTATAGATTATCTGTGTATTACAGAATAGCTAGTATAGATTATCTGTGTATTACAGAATAGCTAGTATAGATTATCTGTGTATTACAGAATAGCTAGTATAGATTATCTGTGTATTACAGAATAGCTAGTATAGATTATCTGTGCATTACAGTATAGCTAGTATAGTTTATCTGGGTATTAAAGTCTTGCTAGTATAGATTATCTGTGTATTAAAGTAAAGCTTGTATAGATAATCTGTGTTTTACAAAATAGTCTCTATAGATAATTTGTGCTAGTACAGTGTCTCTATTATCTGTGTATTATAGTATAGCGGCAGTGAAGTCTCCTGTGATAATCATGCATGCTGAAGATGATTTAGTCATTCCTTATGATCTTGGACTCAAGGTAAGACTACAATGAAGTACTATATTACAGTCTGATGTCAAGTATAGAACTTAGATTTATGTATTCTCTGTCTTTTTTGATATGAACATTTTTCTTTAATCTGGAATTTGTATCTTTCTTTGTACATGTATATTAATGTTCACCTTATTTTACACCTTTCTTTTAGACAAATTACAGAGCTGAATTGACCATTTTTGGTACAAGGTCTTGTACCCTTTCAGTTGGGAATTTTGAATTGAAAAATAAAGGGACAAAACATGGAAATATTGATGACATATTATGTTTACTGTTGAATAGACATTATAATTATATTGTAGGATTATCTTCTATATATATCTTTAAATAATATCAAAATTCAAGATTGTTGACGAAAAGCACTGAAAAATTCAATCATCTTGTCATTTTCGAAATTTAATTGGCAAACTTTTCAATTAGGATGGGGTATTCCCACTGGACACACATGCAATATATATATATATATATATATATATATATATATATATATATATATATATATATATATATATATATATATATATATATATATATATATATATATATATATATATATATATATTAGGGATGGCAACAAATATTCGAACATTCGAATATTCATTCGATGAGTTGATATTCGAATATGAATTTAAGATTCGAATATTCGGTGTTTTTCAGATTTCGTAAAAAGAAGTACTGTGATTAATAAATTTTGATTAGAACAGTGCTGGAATTATCCCTGTTTAATTTATTAACGATCAAATTCGATCGCCTGATTTCTTTCACTACTTTCTTATCTTATAGATCTACTAAATTACATGTATTTTGTTTTAAGCAAGGTGTTAATGAATTGTACAATAATGCTTTATGTATAATACAAAACGTACTTTCATAGTTTTTATTAGTTAGATACTATCGGATCTAGAATCAAGGACAACAAAATGAAAACCTTCTTAGAATGTCTAAAAGACGCGAGGAGTATACTTTTCAAAATAAATTTAATTGATCATTGAATGAATGTCCGATAAAATTAGTCTGTATTCAATATTGCTCAATTTCAGCATAAATGTGTAAATTACTTGTCAATGATTATCTCGGGTTGTACATAATTCTAAATTTTATATTCATTATCTGGAAATTAGTTAATTACCTAGGAAAATTGTCTATGGAAATATTTGTTTACATTGTATCAAAGATTATAATAATATCTCTTATTAGGCAGATAACTGTAATTCATTACATGTATTGAAATCTGAAAAGTACACCGTTACGACTACATCTCGCCTTTGGTAAGACGACTGGTTCCTCAGTTGGAGCCACTATAAATACACATGTTTCCTTTGTTAAAATTATACTTTTCTACATTGATATCAATTATTTATTTCAAACATTGACAAATATCAAATGGAATTCCTTATTGTACACCTACAAAAGTCTTCATACAATTTTACTTCCAATATAAGTATACCTACGCTAAACCTTTCATGAGAGTAGGATGATGCATTATATAAATTAAACAGATTTTATTTATTTTATCGAATATATTCGAATACTTGCATTGAATATTCGAATATGAATTATTGACAAAATTGACATCCCTAATATATATATATATATACACACACACCCCTTTCCTCCATTCTGCCACTTTCAGTTAGTATTAAAAAGATCTCTGTTCTAATTTCCTCATTATATAGAACCCAGATTAGCTACCTTTCCCCCTGTTATTGCAAATATATGGTACAAAATTCTTGTTACCTTATTATGCCCGATACCACATTTTTTCTGAAGATTTGAATCACTAGTGATGAATTTTAAAGTAAATAATCCACAGCAGGTTTTCTAGGTAATAATTTTTGGGAGTTATTGAATAGATTTAATAAAAATGACTTTGACTTTGCCATGCTGCTGAAAAAAGTGCAAGATTCTTAGACCCACACATATCACATATGGGTGGGTCTTCGTGAATTTTAAGATGTCAACAAAAACACAGAATATACATAGCAACTTTTTATCTCGAGGTGAATGTGTGAAGTTTTGCTGTAGTCTACAAGAGTCATTTAACATTTAAATTCTCTAAATACTGCTTTGTTATTACAGTTATACAAGTCAGCCCAGCATAATAGACCCCAGGACAGTGGTCCTCTGCAGTTCATTCCCCTCAAAGCCTCTTTTGGATATGGACACAAACATATATTTCAGGCTCCAGAACTACCAGAAATTGTAAGGTTAGTGAATGAATCATTCTTTACTAAAAAAAAATTCCCATACAAAGATATTTAAGGCTGTAAACATGTAGTTGTATCTCTGCAAGCAAAGTTTTGGGGGATGATATTCTGGAATTCCAACATCCATATGTCTGTATTAAGGTCATTTTGATGAAATCAAGGTTACATGGTACAAAAGTATTCAAATAATGTTTTTGCCAAAGAACATATTAGAAGCTTGAACTTGAGACATAGGTTGCTGTAACACAAGAATATGTTTAGACCCTAATAAACATGTACAGGGTAAATTGAACAAGATTGCATGTTAGATTGCATGTGTCTGGAGGGTGTGTAACAATCCTGCACCATGTTCATTTGAACAAGGTCAAAGTTACTCGGTTTTAAATCAGTATTATATTCTTCTTGAAATTCTTGTCCAGACTATAATTCTGTTATGGAATAACTTTAGAAGATAATCCTAGCTAGCCTTAGGGTTAATTTTGATCATGGATACATCATGAGTTAAAGGGAAATATGTCAATAGGTGAAGGAAACAAACATTTGGTGATTTATTATTCTTAATAAATGTATATGTAAATTTTTCTATTTTTTTTTTAATTTCAGGAACTTTTTAGGTCTTTGTCAGAAGAAATATCAGATTCTGGATTTCTACGTTTGTTTTATCCATGTCTGTCTCTGCTCAACAACCACAAGTCATCATGATCAAAGTATCTAGAAAAACCATGGCACTATACAGTTGTAGGCTTCAGTGTAGCTTTGAATTTTTTCTTATGTTTAGTTTACTTTACAAAGCTGTTTCTAAAAATCTCAATTGATTAAGATTTGATGAATCCGTTTATATTCTTTTGATTAAATTTTAGTACACAGAGCAGATTTCATAAATAACCCAAATTTGCTGTTACATGTACTCTCTGTAAACCTATGTCTTTCATGGTTGAATTACTTTGTTGTTAGGTGTATGTATTTAATGTCACTGTTTAAATTGAGAATGTACATAGACATGTATAATATTCTCTGTGTTGCAGCATTTTGTGGTATATGTTAAATATTTTGGATTTGATGATTGTAAATGTACATATGTAGTTATTTTGTTTACTTATATATACTTGTACATGTAGGACAATCCCATTTTTAAAAAATAATAATTTTATCTACTTAATTTAAAGTGATATGGTCCATAATTCTGTGGATATTTCAGTTTTGAGAAATTCTTGGTCTTTTTAAAAAAATATATAAAAAATAAGTAACTGTTTGTGTTTATTTTAGCATACTGTTTGTTTTGTTTTGTTTTTGTTTTAGCATTCATGTATATATAGAAAAAGTGCATTTGTTCAAGATTGGAGATTACTTTCTTGAGAAAGTAATACATGTATTTTCCTCTAATAGTCATACTAAAAAGGACTTATGCAATGGTAATGTGTTTGTCATCCATCCATCTAGTTTTCTGTTTCACTGTAAAATTTTTTTTAAATGCTTCTCCTCCTACAATTTTACTCTTATTTCATTAATTTCATCAAAATAAATTTAATCAATTAGTCTACATCATCACTGTTAGATTTCAGTAAATGTTGATCCCATGATTACTTAAATTATATCATTATCTTTGAAATTCTTTCAGAATACTAATTTCCCTGTTTTGGACAGATTTCAATAAAATGAAATACTAGTTTACCTATAAAAATATCAATGGTTTGTGGTGATAAATACTTGTATTCATGAGTAAAAGAAGGTAGCAAATCTTGTGGAAATTTCTTGCATGAGAATAAAAGTTTGTAACATTACTGACATTATTCTGTAATTTTTTAAAAAAGTCAGAATGCTACAGGTCCACATAGTTTCAAATGTACAGAGCTTCAATCTTGTCAGAGACTTCTACTTTAACATAAATCATCCATACACTTATATAGCATTGTTGAAAAATACCAAAATATGGATCATATCACTTTAAATTTTCTGCATTTTATCAACCGTCTTTTAAAATTACTTTATTTTTGTAAAGAAATATATCTAGTCAGCTATTTTATATAACAATACAAAAAAATATGTTTAATGCAGTATATAAATGCCCAAAAAAGTTGTGTGTTTTAAAACTAAGTTTCTTTTACTGTCACAGTGTGATATGTATTGCTAACTTGTTACGGTATTTCAAGCTAGAAATTTAACAGTAGATTTAAAGTTGTTACATGTAATTTGGCATTTTGGCTCCTAAGCCTAGATCGTCTTCTTCATTCCAATATGAATTAATGCAATCATTTCAACAAAGGTAGTCATTAATCCTTTTATGGTGTTTATAGTTTAAAATGTTTTCATGTGGAGTATTGTTTGTAGATAGATTATTTTTCTTTTGACTCGGAAGTATTTAAGTATATAAATTAAAATTAAAATCTATATAAATAATGTCTTTCAAATAAGTACATGTACTTGTGCATAATTCCAAATAAAAATTGTTCAGACTTTTACATGTACATTAAGTATGTTGTATCCCTTAGTTAACAATTAGTAGTAAAACTGTTTTAGCAATTATTCACATAAATCTATTAAAAAGTTCTACTGTTTGAAGCAATTATATATCATTCAGTATAAAGTGATGTTAATTGTCTGTACACGATGCTTTTCTAAATATTTAGTGCACAAAACTGATCTGAGTGAACTAAATGTTACATTTATTTTAGATGTTCTGTTTATTTTACTTTACTGTAAAGTAAGATGTTTTTAGGACCTATTATTTTATATACACTGTATCTACATGCCAGACTGTTGTCCCTTTTTTTTTTTTTTATATAAGTGGATTGTGATATTCTTGTGTGTTTAATTAGGTATAATACATAGATATATTCATTTACTGATGTTATGATAAGTTCTTTAGATCTGAAAGTATTTTTGATGTGTAAGGCAGTGTTAGCATAAGAAATATAGGTTTTTTGGGGTCATACATACATTGTAGCACATGGTCATTTACAACCTCCTAAACAGAGTTCTTGTTATTTCCTCTTACAGACACTTCTGAAATAAAGTGATATTCCAAGGATCCATTCCAATTCAAGTTATAATTCAAGATATACTAAGTAAATGTCTACCTACTAAAATTAATTTTCTAATTATAATGAATTAAAACAAATGCACTACTGGTATATTGTGGTACATGTAGTGATATTAGAAAGCCATGCAATGACAGGAGTGAATGTATGAGCTGTTGGTAGAAAGTGGGTCTTTTATGCAAAGTTCCAAGTGCTTCAGTGTATATAAACCCTAATAAACTAGACAGTTATTTCATGAATGTTCTCTGCTGAAATATATTTTAATTATTTTTTTTTTTTACTGATCAATGCAAATAAAAGATCTGGTCAATTTTCAAGAGAAAATATTAAAGGATGGAAGTATTTTTTATATTTTCTTATCTTTTTTTGAAAAAATCCAAATAAGAAAAATATTAACTATAAGTAGAATTTCATACAATGAGAACCCCAGCAAGGATGGCCTGGGTTTAAAAGAAGACCCAGTGAAAGAGGAAAGAAGCAATGTCCATCACTTTATGATCTTGATGATGCATTGATAACATGATGTAATACAGTGGTTCACATATAAGGGATTGAAAAATTTTTTTATCAATGGTTCTGAGTTGACTAATTTTGATTGGATCAAAATTTTGATCTTTCACCCATGAGAGATGACTTTACAGCAAGTTCATAACACAGCTATATTTCAACAGCAGTATCATACTCAGAGTTTGAACATGTACCAACTAGGGGCTCCAAAGTTATGTCCAGATATGATATAACAATTTCTTATGGCCTAGGTCAGTGACCTTACAGTTTGAGACAGAACTCTGAGTCAGGGTATTCATATGGGTCTTCAGCAACAGCATATTTATTCATTCCTATCAAGTGTTAATAAGTAAAAGGTTGGAAAACATTGCACCATCTCATTGCTCTTTGACCTTGACTATTCAGATATGACCATGATTCAGATCTTGATTTACTTTTATTTCAAGGGCAATGGCATACTGAAGTTAAAATTTATTCCAACCTAAGGTTTACAAGATAAATATTAGTCTTTAAACGTAACAAATCATTCAACGACAAAATCAACATAAGCAGCAGAAATAGGTTTCTGTGTATATTTATTATAAAATGAAGATTTTTTTCAAAGAACATGATTAAAGACTATATACTCCAGCTTTAAATTTAATACATTATCACATTACTATGCTGAACTTATTACATTCACCCCATCATACACAGAGACTTCATTAATTTGTATATACATGTACTAGGAAAATTATTGAGGTTCAAAATAATACAAAAAGGGAGCACTCTTGATTTTACCTAATGTAATGAAGAAAATAAACAAGCATATTTCAACACTAACTTTGAATACCATATTTAAGAATATCACTGTTTAACAATTGCGATTTATTGAATGTACTGAGTAGACTTGTAAAACCTTAATTGCATTACTTCACTGCATAAAAAAAGTTACAAACTTTTCAAGTCCTGAGAAGACTAGACCCCCCCCCCCCCCCACAGGAAAAAAACTCGACAAGGGCAAGCTTAAAATAACAAGAGTATTCTGCCTTTCACAAAATATCTAATTCCAAATTTCTGTGACCTGATTTTGAAGAAATGTGATTCAAAAGAGTGTTAAACCTCCAAAATCTTCAAAAATGGCTACCCAAGCGAACCAAAAATGGAGTTTGTAGAAAAGTGGTAGATTTGCGAATAAAAGCAGTAGGCAGGAGATGGAGAAAAAAAGTGGTAGATTTCCGCCTAAAGTGATAGAGTTAACATGTATGCATCCTCAGACCTCGAGCATCTAACATGTCAGGTATGAAAGTAACAGTATGCCCCTCTATAATCCTTGTTTTAAAAAAATCATGGACCACAAAAATTTAAACTTCTAAGAGACCTAACTTTGTCAAATAAACATGGCTTAGAATCATTACAGCTTCCTTGGTCACAAGCAAATTTTATGCAAAGCACTAATCTCTCTGATGTTCCTCTGTTAAAATGACATGTCCCTCACAAGTTTACACAAAAGCCCTGATGACTATGCCCTTGTCTAAATGACCTTCCAGGTTTAGGATCATGATATACAATGTACATGTTTTCAGTAATTATCAAAATTCAAGCCAAGTATGATACTCTTTTATATGGTACGGACAACTTTTGAACCATGTGACCTAGACCTTTTCCAAGTTACCTTGGTTGAGGGTCAGTTTACACCCTCTGTTCCATACCAAGTATGAGAATCTTAAATATCATGTTTAAAAATCATGCCCAGTAAAAATCAAAACTTTTATTTCAGCTTATCCAAACATTCAAACTAGATACATCTAAACCATGTGGCTTTGAATTTGTCCAGATGACCTTGGTTTAAAAATAAGAGAAACTCTAGTCATAAACAACCTTTGTGCCAAGAACAAACTTATATATTTCTTCTTTTTCAAGTTAAAGCCTGGAAAATAAACATTATGCACAATTTACCAGTATAATGAACAATGAAACCTTTAAAAAAAAAAGCCACAACTTTTAAAATTTCACAAATCAATCTAAAAATAGCAGGTGCACAGGTTGAAATGGTTATAATGTTTCCATAAAATTTTGAGGGGGGAAAATGATTTTGAAAAGTTTTTGAGAAACCATGTCTATGGATTTATGGAGTACTAAACAAAACTGCTGTACTTCTGAACTAAAAAAAAGAAAGAAAACAACCCAGTACTGATAACTTCTTCTGGAAACATTTACATATTAATGCATATAAAGGTTTGACCTCCCACAAAATGACTATCATTCTTTTTTTTTTTTACCAGTAAATATATATTGTATGGAGATATTTGTAGAATTCATTTATACACAAGTAGCTATGTTTTTTCCCATCATCAGTGATAATAAAACATGGTTGTAGATTTATGTACTACATGTATACAACACTAGTAAAGACCAGCTACTGCAATCAACAACACGGGAAAAACAAGATTCTTATTCTGTTTTACCTCAAGCAACACATAAAACATATTCATTTAAACCTATATTATCCCTTCATGGAACGGACAATGCTGAATTCATTATCAATCACACTACTCTGAAAGACATATATAATGAAACAATGTTGAACAAATAACACCTTACTTCTACAACATAACTGCAGTCTCTCCTGGGACATTTAGAATCACATCACTTCAAGCTTCATCTCCTAGTAACAAGAAACAAGTCAGAGAATAACATCTAACTGAACATTGCATACATTCACAAATTAATAACATACAACAAAGACTAGATAACAAAGGAATGCATGTAAAAACTTAATCAGTTTCAATCTCAAGTACCAAGGCACATACATATTCATGTATGTCGTTAAAAGGAAAATAGATGATATACATGATTACACTCGATAACTTTTTTCCTAATTCTATTATATTTCTCATCACCTAAATAATTGATTACTGATGTGCATGATGAAATTTTTACACCTATATCTAACAGACCAGACCAGATAAAAATAATGACAGAAACAAAATTCTTCAACATCACTGCATATTAAGACACTTAAAAATTATGCAAAAATAAGAGGATAAAATGTAAAGCAAAAAATACAAATTCCCTTTAGTATGCATTGCAAAAAATATATTGTTTTAGTATGTAAAGGTAGTATCTAAAGTGACTGTAAAATTTAGCTTTTAGAGGTGAATCTAGAATGTGTATTTTTGTGGGATAATGCTATATTTTTCAAGTTGTCCCACTTGAAAACCTTGTTTGCACCATACGTTACACAAGAAATTTATGATTCCTACAATTTAGCAATGTAGTGTTTAGAAGGTGTTAATCGCCACTGGCGAGAATGTGTGAAGTCGCGACAACAGGTGTGTTCAGTAGACCTGAAAATTCAGTCCAATTAGGACTTGGGACCTTAAATATACTTTGACATAAGTGGGGTTTTCGAGATTAATGTGTTTGAGATACTAGTTTTTTAAATCATATATATATATATATAGAATATGGTCAGAACCTGCGATCGACTTCAACATAAGCTTGGAATTCAAGATATCCCATGTTCAAGATACTGATGTTTACCTGTAGATACATGTCCTGTAATCAGGGATTTCACCGAGAAAACCCCCATTGGACAACTCCCAAACTTTTGAAAAAAAAATTGGGGGAGTTGGCCCACTTTCACAATTTCCTAGATTCACCTCTGGCTTTGCACATTTAAACTGTCAGTATTAAAAATTCCTTTCATTACTACTGTATAAAGTACATCAGATATACAAAGTACAGAAGAGATTCATATAAAAATGTTAACTCGAGATAAAAAAAAGTCGGTGTCAAGCATGCTCTTCACCATCTCACTTTCATATACATTTCATCAACAATACACACACAAATCACGAGTAAACATACCAATATACAGCCATTTACCAACAATGAAATTAAAATGCATGTATATGTTGACATGGACTAGATAATTTACATTGAGTTTTTGTATCAATATGAGCTAATACAAACATGAGTTTTCTTCAAATAAAAATCAAAACAAAAATTCAACAAGGAACATATGCATTATCAACACCTGAAATGCAAGCGTAACTCTTACTTATCACATTCATTCACCCAGACTAATATGTAAAGGTTCTGTAAAAAACAAAGTTTAGAACTGCACTGACTGCAATTTCTGTCTGTATCTAACAGAGGGCTGTTGTAAAACAATTTCTATTTAAATTACATTACATTTGTTAATAAAAATTTAATTAAAAGTACAATTTTTCATTTACATTATTGATATAAAATTTAATAAATGAAGCAAAAAATTGATGTACAGCTTGTTCAATCATTCTTCAATAAATATTTGATTTAATTCGTTTCATTTTTTAGTACATTTTTCAGTATTTTTAGTACACCTAAAATGAATAATAAACCTGCATTTTAACAAAATGAAATTATACATGTATATCTATTTTGCCAATGCTAGGATGGATTTTTCAGAATGCGTTTTAACTTGAAGTCATAGACCTGGCGACATAGAAATACAGCACTTGTGTCTGCGTTGTCAGGAGGGAGTCGACTAGAGTGAGGATAATCAATGGAAGGCACGACCTTAGAACGAGGAAGCTGCTCTGTTTCTTTGCGTAGTCTTTCAGCGCGAAATCTACAAATACACATCATATTATAGATCTGCTTCAGACAAAGGTATAACAATTAGTTTCCAAGCTCTGCTTCATTCCTCAACAGAGTTGAAGATTTTAAAATAATGTAAATTAATTATCAGGTCATTTACATTTTAGTATTATTGATACATTATGAAACATTATTCTTTTGCTACAATGAGCTTCCCTATGCTATTTATTTTCTACAAGTTTATTTTCTGTTTGTATTTAAAATACAAGGCAGAAGAAAGAAATACATTCTATCATTTCAGTGTAACAGACAATATGTTATGATACAAGATACCAAATTAATTAAAATTAATGTCACAAGATATCTCCGACACCGACATACTTCCCTTTTCTGCATTGTTATACTGTAAATCACTTTTCACTCATAAAAAATTTACTTACTCATAATTTCATTCTCACGAATATTTTTATTAGTGAAGATTATATAAAACATAACCAGAATTCATAAAAATTTTGTCTCGCCTTAAAATATCAAAGACAAATCTCGCGAAAATAAGGTGTCATGAAAATTTGGTGATCTACAGTAAGTCTTGTCCTGAATTTCAACATCCCCCTTAATTAATTCATTGAATATAATTTACATCTTGACTCCACAATACAATGTAATTCTATTTTTCTTACCTGCAGTATTCATTGTACGTGAGAACATAACCCTTGTCATCAATACAAGCTACGCTGTTTTCATCTCTGTGTTTGGAGGCAAACAGCTCACATGAAGCATGCTGGCTCTTTCTGCCTCCCTCTGTGTGTTCTGGGTGATAGTACCACAGTAAACTCATCATAACATCTCCTGAAAGTGATTCAATGTTTTAAACTGCATTTATTTTTAAAATTTAATAGAATGTAATGCCAAATGACATGGTCACCATATGGAATATGTAGCTTTGTACTCGGAACTCTTTTTAATAAACCTTTTCAACTCAATATAAAGCAATTACCACGATATAAGCAGAATTTTTAATGAGCTTTCAATTTTGGCAGTACACATATTAGCAAGGATTTCGAGATGGCTAAAATTGAATATTGCTAACAATTTACTGTAAACCAAGTATTCATGATTCGTCCATTTGAAATCAATCCGCGACGATTAATTTTCGCAACTAAGGAAACATTCTCTACAAAAACAAAGCAAAATAAATTGTTTGTAATTATTAATATTCAAGAGATAAAGTAGGTCGCGAAACTCACGAATTTTTCTCACACATGAATAAAAGATGTTTACAGTATTCTGTATTGGTTGTTAAAACTCTCTTTCTTGACATTATAAAATCGCTATAATTACTTCTTGCTTGAAATATATACCAATTTCTTTGAATAAATTGCTAAATTTGCATCTTGCTAAAAATTCCACTAATACGGTAACTTTCAATACAATACCCTATTTTTTGTTTAAATACGATATTATATTTAATTACTTCTTTGTAAAGATCAATTCTTCAGAAGCACTATACCAATTTTAACTAAATTTGTTATTGTAAAACATTGGTGATAGTAAAAGAAAAATGTGAATAGTTCAAGGTTCTCATCCTTTGGAATCCTAAGAATGAGGCCAACCCTAAACATATTCCATTGGTGAATGATAAGCCTATACTGTATTAAACCAGAAACTGTTGATAATAAACACTGTATCTGCAATTCAAAATCAACAGAGGTTTTGTGAGCAAGCCAGCAAAATGACCCCCCTTTCTTTTATATATATATATTTTTTAGGGATGTCAAATCGGTCAATTTTTGATAATCGGTTACTCGGACGTTTTTCCGATCGAGTACCCAGGTACTCGGTAAAAATGTAAATACAAGTTTGTTGATTTTTAATTGTTAATTTGTAAAACCCCAAAGCTGTTTTAATCACGTTTTTTGAATGTATATAAACATGGAGTCCAACGGAAATTTTTTTATTAAATAAACACAAATGACGCAATTAATACATCAAAAATTACAAATGGACAAATGGTTTACAGTTCTTGTTTAGGATCTATTTCACCAATGCAAAAGGAGGAGAATCTGCTATGCAGGTTTGTGATGATAGACTGGAACGGAAGTTGTTTGGATCGCTAGTCTACACTATGGAAACTTTTTGAATCTACTTATTTTGAAGTGGGTAGCGGCATTTCTATGCACGTCCGATTTCGCTGCCGTATATTAACTTATAATGTAAAAATTATTTGAAGATAAAGGACCATATTAAACGATGCTCACCGAAAAACAATCATTGAAGCCATCAAAAAAATTAAGGACCACAATAGGTGAGAACAGCTGTGTACCAGGTGATTGGTCACTAATTACTGTATATACACAGCCATAGGCGATAACGGGTGTTTACATGTGTAGATAACGACACACTAATTTCCCTTATGCATATTTAAGTTATTTTTTGATAAGATTTTGATAAAAATATGTACTTTGAAATAAGAAAAAATACACATCCGAGTAACCGAGTACCATTTTTAGTATTCGATACTCGGACGTTCGATCGAGTACCCGGTTAACCGGGTACTCGTTGACATCCCTAATATTTTTTTAAATTGCTGCCTCCATTTTTTCTTTCTCATAAAGTAAAGGATCAGACATAAATTTTATACTTTTTTGGCCAGTAACCTTGAACTTGTCAAATGACCTTTGATCAAGCTCAGGTCATAAGTAATCTTCCTTCCAAGTATGAGCTTCAAGTGCTTCTCCATTACAATATATTGCCAGGACAGGATTTATACATTTTTCCAAAAGTGATTTTTGGTCAATAATATGACACAGCTTTAACCTTTGATCGTAGGTAATCTCAGTGTGAAGTATGATCAATTCATTTGATTTGAGAGACTTTATTGTGCACATTTGATTATATGATGCCATAATGAGCAAGAAAACTGTGAAGATTATTTTTTTTTTTTTAAAAAAACTCTTTTACATCAATAACTTTTGGGAAAATTGGTTGTTCAATGTTATAATATTTAAGCAACGAACTGAAGTTATCACAAACAATGAAAGCCTTTTTATGATTTGAATGGTCGAAAACATTAGAAAGCATTTATTTGTCATCACCTTGTGACCACATTAGTAACACAAATGATATTCAACAACTGTTCATATTTTTTCTCTTATGCTCACATTGATAATGACCAAAATTGAACATTTAGCCATTTAGAGGCATGTTAAAAATTTCTTCTCCAATAGTATGGGTAATTCTTTCTTCCCCTGTGAAGTTATAAAAAAGCTACCGTACAACATATCTCACTTGCAATCAATGCCAAGTTCTTCGTCACCATTGTAAAATTTAATCTATAGCTCTAAAACAATTCAGAAAGCTGTTGCATAATGTGCCATAAAACACAGTTGACTCCTAATAGCCCATTGACCTCCTCGTTATATTTTGCTTCAAAATTACCCTGGAAAATCACATACCCTCTTGTGGATGCTCCCAGAACTGGGTGACCTTGGCAACAAAAGGTATATCGGTTGTCTTTGGCCCTGACCTCAGCATTACACAATCTCTGACCTGAATGATATCTCCATCCGAGTGTCGTATGGCTTGGGAACACTGAGCTTCAAATGATATACCTATAGACTATCAAAAGATGAAGAAAAAAAACTTCATTACCTTTTAGAATCAGAAAAAAAATTGAAATGTTACATCATTTCTAATTTAGATATTAGCAGTGCTTTACCAATTTTTTGTGTACCAGTAAAACAAAAGAATACACTGAAACACTACAGTGGGTATATCAACTGCATAAAAAGATATACAATTACATGTACATGTATATTGTTCTGCAAAAGAAACATTAAATTTCTTGTCTCTGTTTAAATTTGTATTCAATTAATATCTCTTTAACTTGTAATACTCTCTTTCATATTTCTTCTGATGTCAAAAACACATAATAAAAACTAGAAATATGTCCATAGGACATGAATGCCCCGCTGAGGGTATATTAGTAATGCAACATTTTAACACAAATTGAGAAAAGTGAGGTCAAGGTCAGAGGAAAGGTCAAGGTGAAAAAATATTGATGCAGTTGAATAGCTTACATCAGTATGTATCAGCATATGAAGTTTGAAACTAATTTAAGAAAAGTATGGTCTAGGTCAAAGGAAAGGTCAAGGTCAAAAATTGTTGATGCAGTTGAAAAGGTTTCATCAGTATATATTAGCATATGAAATTTGATAAAAATATTATGAATGGTTTCTTTAAAACTGAGCTAAACACTAATTTAAGAAAAGTGAGGTCAAGGTCAAAGGAAAGGTCAAGGTCAAAAAATGTTGATGCAGTTGAATAGCTCTCATCAGTATGTATCTGATTCAGCATATGAAGTTTGATAACACTATCTTGAATGGTATCTTTAAAACTGAGCTAAAAACTTATTTAAGAAAAGTGAGGTCAAGGTCAAAGGAAAGGTCAAGGTAAAAAAAATATTGATGCAGATGAATAGTTCTCATCAGTATGTATCAGCATATGAAGTTTGTTAAAAATATCTTGAACTGTTTCATTAAAACTGAGCTAAACACTAATTTAAGAAGGGTGAGGTCAAGGTCAAAAGAAAAGTCAAGGTCAAAAAATGTTGATGCAGTTGAATAGCTTACATCAGTATGTATCAACATCTGAAGTTTGATTACACTATCTTGAATGGTATCTTTAAAACTGAGCTAAACACTAAATTAAGAAAAGTGAGGTCAAGGTCAAAGGAAAGATCAAGGTCAAAAAAAGTTGATGCAGTTGCATAGCTCTCATCAATATCTATCAGCATATGAAGTTTGATAAAAATATTTTGAATTGTTTCTTTGAAACTGAGCTTTGAACAGAGCTAAACGCAAAGTGTGACGGAAGGACAGACGGAAGGACAGAAGGACGGAAGACGGACATGACAAACACTATATGCCCCGGCCATATTCATGGCGGGGCATAAAAATTCAGAGAATGGAAGAAAAAACTGAGAACATGCATTAAGAAAATATTAAACACAGAGATTAGAGAAATTCTAAAGAAAATGGAACATATATATTGTAAAGCACATGTGTATATGGACTTATTTTACACTGATTACTTGTGTAAATTCATAAATATCAAAGAAAAATCTAAAAGTTTCACATAACTATGAATACTTCTAATTTAAATTGCTCTTGTGCATGTCAATTCTTCACTTACAAAGCTGTATATTTTTTTCTTCTCCAGTGGCCCATGTAGTCGCCAACCATGGAGGGAAATTGCTCTTTGTAATTTAGCTTCCTTTTTAGATGTGCTCTTTTTTCTCTCCTTTGGGGCTTTAGGACACTTGACTTTAGGTTCTTTTGAAGATTTCTTTTGCACCTCCCCTTTTTCTTTCTTGTCCTTTTTATCAGATTTTGTTAAATCTTTCTCACTGCTGGATGAGTTTGATTTGATTTTGGTAATTTTTGAATCTGAGCCCTTTGTCCTGACTTTTTCTACAGTGTTTGACTTTGTGAAAACACTCTGCTGCACAACAGGAAACTCTTCAATTCCTACATCGATAATCTCCTCAGCAACCTTGGTGTCAGAGTCCTCGAGGTGTTTGTCTTCAATGTGCTGAATACTTATTGGCGGATGTGATAAGATGCAGGGATCTCTTGAAGGCAGTGGCTGATGGGAAATGTTTGCATTGGGCTGAGAGTAATACAAACATTGAGGACATGCTGAAAAATAAAGATAATCCCTTGTGATCACTTAGTTGTATAACTAAATCCAGTTATTTTATAAAGTAACTGAAAGTAGGTGCATTAATGATATTACATTAAAAATGGATTGTTTTTCATGGTTATTTCAAAGATTATTTCCCTGTTGAATAATGAATGTCTTTAATAAGATTAAAAAATAAATTATCTTCATTTATTCTTATTTATAAAACTCACGCACAGTATGCTTATTTATTGGGCCACATTTAAGTGTGTTCATGAGGAAAATCATTTTGACCTTGACCTTTGACTTCAAAATTCATAATTTTATATGTATCTTCCTTTAATCAAATTTATTTACCTTAACATTGAGAAAATAAAGATTTTAGGCTAAAAATACCTATTTATAAATTACTGCTTCACATTGGATTTTCACATTAGTTTGTCTTTTGGCATTTTTTCAAGTGACATTTAAAATAATTCAATAATTTTCTTCTTTAAACCAGTCTTTTTTATTTAGCGGGATTAGGTTTTCAAAAATGCACCAAAATAGTCATAACTAACTAGCCCAAACTAAAAATAATTACTTAATAGAAAATTAAGTTATGTCTGTAGTCATGTTGACCATATAATGAATTTAAATATGTCATTGAATCAAATTTTCATTGATTATTAATACATCAAATAAAGTGACAAGACAAAAAAGATTTAGTCAAAGAAAATAAGCTTAGTTGAATTCATGATCTATTCCATCTATAATGCAGGGGAACAGTAGTTGACATTATCATGTACTTGATCCCATCACATGAGCACCGATAAATATAAAATCAATACCGATGTAGACATTAAATGCCTTCATGGGAAACATAAATTGAATGATCACAATGTTGTGCTCAGCTTCACCAACAGGATACTGATATTTATTACTTTTCATCTGATTTTGTTCTTTGCAAGCTAGTGGTTATCGGGAGTTTATCAACCAATTTTATTCACCCTCTTCCATACAATTATTACACAAAGGATCAAATTCAACATTCAATCAGTATCTAATTAAGGGTCAGTAAGAGGACTTCAAGGTATGAACTTGATAAAATACCTAACAATCTAATCAATTTAATCTTTATTAATTAAAAGGTGTTAAGAACTTACAACAGTGTGGCAGTGTAGATGTCCCAGGATATGGTAATGTATAGGACCCTCCATAAGCTGGAGGATAAGGCATTACTGCAGAAAGGTTTACAGAACTCAACCCTCCTACTCCACCAAGGGCATAAGTCTGACAGCCTGGTATCATCCCAGCAGCCTGGGCACACTGAGGGCATCGATGTGAAGATAGGGCAGAATGTTGCACCATAGAGTTCACATAAGAAGCACTATCTATATGCTGCAATCGAGACAATGAATAACCTGAAGTAGCCATATCCATATTGATGCATGCTTTAACATCATCAGAGTCTGTATTGCTGTTTGATCGGGGTATATTGTCACTGTGGGGTATATCTTGAGTGTTCCAATACATGGCACTTTGGTGCTGGCATGTCAATGGCTGAAAGCATGTAGAGCACATAGATCCTGAGCAACACCATTTTCGTTTGGGAATCACAATTTCATGAGTTCTTGCTGCTTTCCTTGTGTCTCTTCTCTTCTTTTTTGGCTTACTGGGATCAGAACTTTTTTCACTATCACACTTAGTCTTAATCACTTTCTTTTTCACTTTTTCAAGTTTCTTTTTGGCTTTCAATTTGAGCATTTTCTTATTTAAGAATAGAGAATTTGATTTCAAAATCTTTTTCTTTTCCTTCTCTTTTTTATTGTTTAAGGATTTTATAACAGTCAAATGGTTTTTCTTCTGAGATTTCTTTTCCAATTTCTTTTCTGTATTTTTGGCTTTTTTCACAGGTGAACTAGAGACCTCTTTTTCTTCAGGGGATAAATCAGCCACAGAGGAGGATCTGCGTTTCTTTGGAGACTTTGGAACTGGTGTTTCTTTTTCAAATAAAATGTTCACCATGGCCATCGCGTTTAAACTGGCCTCTCTCCTTACTCTACGCCCAGGCATTAGAATTGGGTCAGACTTCTTTTGTTGTTTTTTACCTTCAGAACTTGGAAGTGATTTATTTGTTTTACTTGGACTTTTTTCTTTATTTGGAGACTTCCTTTCACCATTCTTGTACTCACTACTTTTCTTTCTTACTTTCTCTTTGACAACTTCTTCTCTATCATTCTCAATCTTTACATTTTTATCTGTCTTCTTAGGTGATTTACACACTGTGGTTTTGGATTTGTCTGTTGAAATGCCTGTCTTACAATAATCCAGTGGATGATCAACTGTATTTAGAGCAAAAGCAGAGTCACTAATCTTTTCTAAAGATCTGTTGGAAGTCACACTATAATACAAAGTGTCTGAACTGGAGGATTGGAGAAAAGCTGATTCCTTGTAAGTGATGATATTTTCTGTTGACAGTCTAGAGCCAATGTTGTGTAGTCGTTTATATTCCTCAACAGAGACACCAGCCGGTTTTTCCTTTTCCTCCTAAAAAAGATTGAAATACTTTGAGAAAAAATCATCTATTGTCATATATAATATAGTATAAAGGTCAAAGTCATTAAAATTTTTAAAAATATTTTAAAGATTAAATAGTTTTCAAAAAAATATTACTTTGAAATATTTAACATTACAAGTATACTTAAAAGCTTATTCTTTAAAGTATACATCTATTTTAATCACAATTTTTTAATTACAACTTATGCAAAACAAAACTTGAGTATGTACATATAAAAGTTATAAATCCAGGTAAAAATAATACAAAATGAAAAAAATAACATAATGATCCAGACAAGTTGTGTTAAAATATGACAAATCTTACATTCATTCCAAACCTGATTTACAACTTATTCAACTGAAATAAACATAAGTGCGATCATCAGAATCATAAAATCAATACATAACGTACTGAATTAAAAGCACATACATGTACTTTGCCTGCACAAATTATGCACCTCATTAAACTCTGCCAAAACAAGTGCTATAACTTTAAAGCAGATATAAGTGCATCCAACATGTCAAAGATATTAATACTTGTCACAGGCTAAATTTCCTTTTATTATATAAGATTTTTTTTCCCCCACCAATCACAATGTTAAGACGGAAATCTGAATGTCATGCTACTTTTCAGGAAGTTTTGTTTTTCAGAAAAAAATTAAATGTTGACTTCAAGTCTGTTTGGTATAAAGGTAAAAGTCACTCCTTATCTATTTATTAAATTATACTTTCCAGTAATCAAATGAACTTGTTTTTATCATTTCTTTAAAAAAAAATTTGCTGTATATTTATGTATTATGTTCACATTGCAGCTTTTCTACTTCTCACAAAATGATAGTGAAAATCCCTCCTTTCTTACTTTATCGCCTATTTCTTAAATTTTCACTTACCAAGAACATGAAAAAATGCTATTCTACCTGTTATTTAAGCACCTGTGTAAGCCTTTATAAGTACACATACATCATTAATATATATGCCATGCACAACAACTTAACCTTTTTTTTTTTAAATTACTTGATAAAAAGATTGTCTTTTTAAAAATACAATATTAATTTTGAAACAAATTACTGACTTCTTAAAGTGCCATTTTTCAAATGCTAATAAAATTAAATGGGAATTTACAACATACCCAAATATAGTTAGTTTCCTTATCACATTATAAAAGGTCAAAGTCATGTGACACTGTGACATTTTGGAATAGAGTTTCGATGTTACTTTAAAGATTTTTTATTTCACTTTACCTGCAACAAAATATCCAATTGTTCATGAAAAAAACACCTTCAAGGTTATTAAGAACATCCTAATCTAACACTTGTTTCCATCAAATGAAGCACTGCTATAAGTTTTCCTGTCCCCACATTCAGGGCTTCAGTCACGTAAACAATGAGAAAAGGAAGTTACACAAACAGTAATATAAAAAGAATTGTTCAATCTGTGCCGTGACTGAGCATGTACCTGTAAAGTATCATTAGAATATAATACCTAAGACTCAGCATTCTGTAATGAATGCCTTGGAACTGATCGCTAGACTATCTCTCACAGAATAAAATCAATATTTTGTCATCTGCCACAGCAACTAGCATTCTATATAATATCTTACACTATTCAATCTACTGTGATCTAAAGGACATTGTAAAGATGAGATTCATTTCTTCCATTTTAGTTTTCATTCTTTTTTTGTTACAATCAGCTTTTATTAAATGAATAATAGGAATTTAAGCTTTGTATAAAATAAGTGGGAATACAATGTATATACATGTACCTGACATACCAAGTATTCTACGACTGATAATTTTTTTCTCATAAATAATTCCGTTTTTCATAAGAGACCACCAAAAAAAAAATAAAATAAATAAATAAAATAAAATCATTCAGCAACAATGTTATCACTGTGTTTTTGTTCTTTCTATGCAATGTACACTTGGTGTCTTATTTTTTTTTCTTAATCCAATTAGTATGATTATCGCATATTTAATCTACACTACCTGAGACTGCTCACATATTAATTTGACTTTTTAGAACAATGACTATGCTGTTTTTGAGAAATTTTTTTTATATACTTTGATCCCCTTTTGTGGACCCATTCTACTCCAATGGGTCATGATTTGAACAAAATTGAATCTACACTATGTAATGAAATCTTTACACAAGTTTCATCTTTTCTGGTCCAGTGTTTTTTGATAAATGGTTCTTATATGAGTCCAACCTTTTCTTTAAAAAGTTTTCTTGATTATCTCCCTTGGAAAGGAGGTACAGCCCTTTAAGCAAACCTGAACTGGTTCAGTATGGTTTTGGAGAAGAAGACAAAAATGTTATAAAGTTAAAAGATGATTGACAGAACAAGAGGCCCATGGGCCATGACACTCACCAGTACACTGAGCTTGGCTGTTCTTCGGAAGATTTTTAAAAGATTTTCATATTCCCATGAAAAATTGTGACTTATATTATGGCCCACCAGAAGGGGGTATCTGAGTCCACACAACATTGGTATGCTTCAATATCAATATGATTTACATGGCCCTGCAGTTGTGGAGAAAATCCATTATTTATATACATGCACTATTTAAAATCTGATCCTGATGATAGCCAATTCTAACCAAGGGTCCATAATGTTTGCAAATCAATAGTTCTGTTGTGATTCTTAAGAAGATTTTAAACTTTTTTTTCCTTTATAGTCCATTAAATGTAAAACTTTTATCCCATATTGCGGTCCCACCTTATCCCTGCTGTCCATGATTTAAACAATTTAAAATCTACACTACCTCCGGAAGCTTTCACATTAGTTTCAATTTTTTGAAACAGTGGTTCTTGAGAAGAATTTTTTAAAAAGATTTTCCCTATGTATATTTCAATGTGAATTTTTGAAACCTTATTGTAGCCCCACAAATGGTTCCTGAGAAAAAGTTGAATGTGAAGCATTTACAGATGGACAGACAGACAGATGCCAGACAATGGGTGATCAGAAAATCTCATTTGAGCTTTCAGCTCAAGTGAGCTAAAAATGATGGTCAAATAGTGATCAGAAAAGCTCATTTGAACCTTTGGCTCAGGCAAGCTAACAAGAATTCAATAACAATCACCAGAATGTATCAGCATCCTGACCCAAGAACCATTAATTTCACAATTTTGGAAGAGGCATGCTTGCATATCATAACCATGCACTTAGTTTATCTGTTAAATACCCATGAGCTAAGAAGATTTTCAAAAAAATAAATGCATTTTCACTATATAATCAATAGAGCCCCACCCTAACACCAGAAACCCTGACCCAGGGCCATGAATTTCAAAATTTTGAAAGAGCCACTCTTGCTCATAACAACCATGCACTTAGTTTGTTTGCTTCATAACTAGGAACAGAGGAAAGGATTTTCAAAGAAATCATGCATTTTCACTCTATGATTAATGTCCCAACCTAACACCACAACCCCTGAACCAGTGGCCATGAATTTCACAATTTTGAAAGAGGCACCTTTGCTCATAATAATCATGCAATTAGTTAGTCTGCTAAATATACAGGGGGAGAGAAGAAGTTTTTTAAAGATGGGTATGCATTTTCACTATATGATCAATTATGCCCACTTTAACTCCAAAATCCCTGACCCTGTGGCCATGAATTTCATAATTTTGGTATAGGGCTCAATCATGCCAACAGTTTAACTGCATGATGTCCAGGAGTAAAGAAGATTTTAAAAGACTGCATTAATTTGGGTGGCTTTAGCCCCATCCCTCAGGCTCCTGGGGGGGATCATGGAATACAAAATTTTTGTTCCCCTTCACCCATATATGTTATATGCCAAATTAGTTGAAAATGGTTCAGCGGTTCAAATGTTAATGAAAGATGCACAACAGATGACGCAAAGAGAGAGCAATAGGTCACCTGAGTGATTCAGGTGACTTCAAAAGTCAAAACTCCATGCTGAATAGTACTTTTTCAGAAAACTGTAGTGAAAACATATATTAATAATCACTTATACTACAGCATAAAATTAATCTAGGTCAATATTGACGAGATTTCAATTGATCTCATTATGAACCTATTAAGCAGTTTTTAACATGTACATTACCAGATAAGAGTACAAACTTGATCGAGTAGATGAGAGATGCTCATTTTTTCGTCATCAATTTCATAGTATTAAAAACTAAATATCATGGTGAAGCTAAAGATCTTTTCAGTTAAACAGGCTTTTTTGGTGACACTGAATAAAAAAATCAATAGAACCTCTCCCACTCTCTCATTATATTGAGAAAAAAAGAACATATACGAAACATCTGATATATTGTTCCAAATCAATCACTTTGACCCATCTGCACTCTCACAGTAACATTATTCTAACCATTCATTTTGGGACAAAAAATCATTAAGTGTATATCATTTATGTTATACAGATCCCATTTCAGGAAAAAAGTTAGTTTTCATTTATTACTGGGCATGCAGGGTCTTTTGAATGTAAATTTTAATGCGCTATTTTTATCTTTACTTTTTTGGGGAAGGTTTCATGAAAAAAAATAAATAGAGGATATTCAATGTTTTGTAGATGAATATGGAATTTATTTCACGAGTGGGACAGGATTTTTTGATATTTTCACGAGTGCTTCGCACTCGTGAAAATCGTGAAAATATCAAAAAATCCTGTCTCACGAGTGAAATAAATTCCATATTCATCTACAAAACATTGAATTTTCTGTTTATTACATTTTCTTTGATTTTGACTTTGCCTCTGTCTTTTCTTAACACAGTGTCATAGGCTTGACGTCATAGTTGAGCGGTTGAGACGTCACAGTTTAGCAGTTGTGTGATTGAAAACATTACATAGCATGGATTTTAGCAACATATTTGGGAAGAAATTTGCAGTTTTAGCTCTATCAAGATGCTTAGTTACTATTTCTATCTTATGACAGACCAGAAATTATTTTTTACTTACTTTGATATCCTTTCACACTGTGAGAGAATATCATTTTGGTATCCTTTCACACTGTGAAAGAATATCACT